GTCTTGTTTTGCTTTTTCGACATGAAACCTCAGGCTACCCTTCGTCGAAATCTGAAGGAAACTAAATTCCATTTGAAACCCATTGCACATATGAAAAAATATACCTAGGAGCGCTCGATAATTTTAACAATTTTATGTCTCGTTGTGAATATTTTTTCTGTTCGTGGTGTCCTTCCTAGAGGAAATTTGCCAACATATATATCTCAGCATTTTGGGAAGATCGTGCTTCTCATTGCCTGGTTGCTAGTGAGACAGATGACAGGCACAAGCGAAGCTTTTACTTTATTTTAAAAAACGCTTCTAAGAGTAGACAGTCGATCGATGTCGCTTTACACCTTCTTTACTCATGGGGCTTCAACTTTAGCGTCGCTGAAACTGAAGGACTTTCATCTAGAAGCGAAAATCCACCAATTCGTGTCAAACTATTTTCGTCGATAGAAGTAGACTTTATTTTCTCACATTTAGAGCGCTCAGCTGAAAATCTCAGGGGAAATAAATTTTTAATTACTCGGGATAAAACTCCACTGCGACGAAGAGTTTCTCCCTCAGTTACAAACGTAAAGCCACCCCAGAATTCTACTTATCTGTCATTTGCCTCTAAAGCAGATTCCCATCGGGCGTCAACCAAGTCCCCCCCCCCATCTGCAGCGGCCACAGTTCCATCCAGCTCTTCAACTGAGTCATTTGAATCCGGCCACTTTTAAACGCCCCCAAGCAGCAGGGATTGCTCAAATGTGGCTCCCAAATTTACTAGGGTGCATGATCTTAACAGTAAAGATGTGCCAGTCTTCGAACCACAACCGACCTCCTGCATTCAAGATAATGAATTAGTTAATAAACCTGGATCGAATCCATCCCTTTCCCGCACCTGGCCACTCAGGTCTCACCTAGCAGTTAGGTCAAATAGGTCACATGATAGCTCAGGGAGATCTTTACTTGTTCCTATCCCGAATTCTCAACTTAACGTAAACATCCCAGTTGTGAAGCCCACTTGCACACCAGCCTGCAAGAAACATGCATATAGCGTTGCTGATAACTTTTCCAATCCCACTGCTAGCCTGACACCCCAAATACTAAAGCCCTTTTCTAATGTAAGCTGTTTCTCGAAGCCATTTCGTCCGCTATACATCATCATCTACCCCTCATTTTATGCTCAAAATTCATAAAATCCTATTTTATGTCCCCTATTTTTCCAACCCAACAAAGTGACATTCCTCTTCCTGTGTCCTGCTCAAATATTTTTCCACACAATGCTGCATCTCTACTTAGTGGTGATTCCCCCACATAGTTTAGACCACAACAACTTTGTTTTCCACCGATTGCTTCATTTCAACAGCTCTCTCTTTTTTATAAGCAGCAATGAGCGAAACCTACATATTAGGAATTCGCTCAGCATTGTCTCTCTCAAAGCAAGATCAGTCATGCAAGAGATGTCATAACTAACAAGTGTGACTGTTAAGTTTGACCCAGATGTTTTGTGCATTACAGAATCTTGAGCTCACTCGCCAATTTCACACTCGTAGCTCAGTATAGATAAGGTCAGTTTATGCCGCTAAGATCGTGTAGAAAGGCGCGGCGGTAGTTGCCCTCTTTACATCAGAGCCTCACTTGCACAGTCGTCGTGTGACCTGAACATTTTCCCCTTTTCTGGAAATTTATGTTTCGCTTTGATAATCCTTCCGCAGAATAGGAAAGCCAAAAGCGGGTGTGTTTTTAATCCTCCTTGTTACTCCGGAAATGAAAGCCAATTCTCTGAACTCTTTGAAAAAATTGCAGAGACTTCTTTCGATGTCAAGACCGTCGTATGCGACTTTAATTTGCCAGAAATTGATTGGCACACACACTTCCTCTCCTAAATTCCAGAAGCCTCTAGACACCATTCACTTTTCAAACTTGTCTCAATTAACCAACTCTTCGACTTGTAACGATTGCGTATTGGATTTAATTTTTTCTAGTGCAAATTCCTTCTATCTATGGATTTCTGTTATGCCCTTTTTGCAAATGATCATGCATTAATTCATTGTCGCATTCCAGTTGCCGTTTCCGCAAAGCCAACAGTACAGCGTAGTATTTTTGACTTTGCTAATATTAAGAAGTAATTAGTGGATAATGTTACAGGCACTCTTGATTGGCACGATATTTTTTTCAAATAAAGATCTGATTTTTTCAACAGTTTATTACAATGCGCAACCGAAGGTCTTCTCGACCACGTTCCGCAGAAGACGCTTAAATCGAGTGCCACTTCCACCGCTGTCCAACACGTTCTTAAAAACGGACTCAAATGTCCACGGAAGCAGCTTAAAGATCCTTCCGTGAGTTCATTTTCAGTTCACCTAAGAATCGTTGAAATATTTGAATTAGCTTCGAAAATGAGGCTCCCGCGAGATAGGCTTAGAGAGTCTTTAGCTATTAATGGCGTGAATACTTCTAAATCAGTTGCTCATATCTTCCGTCAAAGATCGCCTGCTAAATTCCACCAAGTCATTCCGCCTTTGTCTAGCACCAACGATATCTACATTACAGAGGTGTCAGGAAAAGTAGAAATGTTAAATTCATTCTTAGTCAAATAGTTCACCATTGAAACTGAACCAATCCCTTTAATTCCTCCGTTGTCTGATGCTTCTCTTAGCATTATTAATTTTTCTCCTGAATGTATTCAAAAACTGATAAGCCATCTTCCTAACTCTCACTCAGTAGGTACGGACAATATCCCAAACTCTCTTATAAAACGACTTAGAGATTTTCCTCCTCTGCTTAGCAAACTCTTTTCAGTATTTCTCGTAAATGGCTTCTTTCCTGACTATTAGAAAACTTCTAATATTATTCCAGTATTTAAGTCAGGTTGTCATTTTGAGGTTCAGAACTATCGAGGTGTCCATAAAACACTTTCTCTCGACAAAATCTTGGAAAAAATTATCGCCTTGCAAATTACTGACTTTTGCATAGCCAATCAAGTTATTAGCCCTTCCCAGCATGGCTTTCTACCAGATCGCTCTTGTGAAACATGTCATCTGTCGTTTCTCAATCTACTTACTTTTCTTCGTAATGACCATCTATCTGTTGTAGTTATTTATTTTGATCTTAGTAAAGCCTTTGATAAAGTGCCACATTAAAGACTCTTGGTTAATTTAAAAGCTCTGGGAATTCGAAGCCCCTAATAGACCTTATCAAGTCATACCTGTCTAATCGTAAACAGAATTTTTTAATGGAATCTTCACTTTCCAGTGAAAGCCCTATTGTAAGTGGTGTCCTACATGGTACCGTTTTTGGTCCTCTTTTGTTCTTTCTTTACATAAATGATATCTCGGCAGTTAAACATTCCCAGCCATTTGTTTATGCCGATGATCTTAAATGTGTATATTCTTCCAATCAATCTACAAGCCTTCATTGCCTGGAGGAAATTCATGCTGACTTGCTCTCTCAGCATGGAGTTCAGAATGACTAATGGAATTCTCTCTGTCTAAATGTCGCTATGTGTTTTGGACCTGATGGGCTACATCAATCAGTGGTCCTTCAAGACACACCTATGACTGAATGTACCACCATCAAGGATTTAGGTTTAAGCTGCTCAAATAATCTTGATCTCTCGCTACACGCTGACAGAATTACAGCCAAAGTTGCCCAAATATGTGGTTTTATTTCTTGCAATTTTTATCATCGGGAAATTAACTTTAGACAGTATCGTATGTTTGCACTTCCCAAACCCGAGTATTGTTGCGCAGTCTTTGGTTTGATGAACGCGGCTGTTCGTTCAAAAACTTAAAATGTTCAAAGACGTTTTACTAAAAACCTTTTAGGCACGGAATATCCAACTATCTCCTACTCAGATAGATGTCAGCTAACTAGCCTAAAATATTTATGGGTTCGAAGACTAGAAGCAGGCTTCTGTCTCCTCTTTTGCATTAATCATAGTTCAAAACTTCCTCTGATTTCAGCATTTACCCCTAGTAAGCGCCCATACAATCTTCGCAAGTCTCTCTTGGTTATACTTCCTCCAGCTTCCTCCACTACTAAGCGCTTTGCTTTTTTCGCTCCCAGGTAAGCCCGGGGCCCGAGGAAACGGAGAGCCTGGTGGAATTCGAGTACCCCTTCCAGAGGTTCTTGCGTTCGACGGCGAAAGTCAGAGCGCTCCAGCCAGGAAGGTGTCGTACTTCAGGGATTCCCCGAATTTCTTCAGGATCTCCGTTTCCGACATAGAGGATGAGACGCCGATAGTCCGAACCAGGTTGTAAACGTCGTCATCAAGCTGAGCCAGAATGGCTGAGCCTTGGCAAATTGCGGCAATATCCCGCAGGTAGTCCTCCATGAGAGGGGCTCACCGATCGAAATTACCCGCGCGGCTGAGCTTGGCAGAGGGTGGTTCGCTGGCGGTTGGGAAAGCAAGTTTCTGCAACTCCTTGTCGAGTTTACCGACCAGATTGTCCGACATATCGACTGGGGTCGCCGCTGCCACCAATTCGTAACGTTTTCGTCTAGCGAGAGTATATAGTCAACGAGGCCCAACAGGAGAAGACGGAGACTAGTAGCTACTTTACTGAAGGACCTGAGTACAAAGAGAAACTAAGAGAGGAATCTTGATTACAAAAAATAAACTGAGTCCAGGTGGACTGTCCACAGGGGCGGCTGAAGAACTGGGATCTAGAGGAGAAGGCGACAGGTGTTTCCCGTCCGATTAGCGGCCACCGGCCACGGGGTTCCGGAAGGCGAATCCTCACCCGTATTTATAGTTTATCCAGGCGCCAAGGGCGTTAATGCTGAGTCTGCCATTGTTGATTGGTTTAGGGTAGGCTGAGGGGGAGACTTAAACAAAATTATGCTAGGACTATATTAATTATTTTAGGGTTATATTAATTTATTATATGCATACTTTTATAAGATGCCGGATTACGAATAGGTACCCAGCGCACAAATATGGAAAAGTTCGGCTAAGCACGTGGTAGGTCATAAATAAATAAATAAATAAATTTTTATTTAATGCCAGTTTACAGGCATTGTCAAGGGAAGCGATTAAACACAAATCCGACCAGCAGTGAAAAAAACTTCTGAGCTAAAGGGATAAAAAATATAGTTGATGGTGGTTTTTGTGGTTTGGAGGGCTCAGGAGAAAAAACTGCCGGTGGTGGGAGAATATCGACCGTCAAGAAGGGGGGAGGTTGCACGGTATCGGAGATTATCGGACGTCAAACTCCTTTCATTAAGTTGGGGATAGTCAAAGTAGAGGCGTTGAGGAACAGCTGGTGAGACCGGCCATAGTGTTCAGAGACCACAAACGCCATCGCTACGGTACCCAAAATTTGTGGGAGCTTTTCTGAATGCAAAAATCGAGTAATAGTTCTCTTAAATAAAGGATAATTTTGCAGAGTTTTCACACTCCTGGGTAGTTTATTCCAAATAGCAATTGCATTTACAGAAAAGAACCGACGATATTTAACAGTACGTGCCAGAGTCAGAAATAAGAAGACCTCACGGTGACTGTTACGTCGTGGGTGGATATGATGTCTTAAAGAGGTGAGTGGGTTAAATGTGTGATTATATAAGAGTTTAAATAGCAAAAATAGTCCCTTTTGTAATCTACGGAACCATAAAGGATCGAGGCCTGTAAGCCGGCAACGTTCTTTGTAAGACAAATGTCGGTGTTCCGGGGTTAAAATTCTCTTAGTAAAAAAGTGTTGAACGGATTCTATCTTCTTCCGCTCAGTAGCACGCATGAGGCTAAATGAAAACGAACAGTATTCCAGACCAGGTCTAACTACATGTTGAAAAGGCGCATTCTAATGTCCCTAGTTTTAAAATTTCGGAGGATAAACCCGGTCGTTCTACGTGCTTTGGAGACTATCATGGCACAGTGCTCCGAGAGATTGAGACTCTTGGAGTATGATACGCCCAAATCCTTTATAACCCCTGGCACATTTATTGCGTGACCTTCAATACTTAGTTGAGGTTGGCGGTCGTCGCCAACCACCATGACTGAGCACTTATGCCAAGAAAGAGAAGGGCGCATGTGCGCCACCACTGGGAGAAAGCCTGTAGATCGCTCTTTAGGAGCTCAAGCACGATGTCATGATCTGCCGGCTTATATCGATATGCAACTTTAAGATCATCGGCATACATGAAAGGCTTACCATTCTGAAATAAATCGGGTACATCATTAACGAAAAGGCAAAATAAAAGCGGGCCGAGTACACTACCCTGAATGACTCCACTCCTCACAGGTGTGGGGTTGGAGATGGTATTGGAAATCTTAACTCGTTGTGTGCGAGTGCCCAAATAAGAGGGTATAAAATTCAAAAGTTTGCCACCTATTCCGAAAGAGGACAATTTCAAGAGGAGAAGAGCATGGTCAACACGGTCAAAAGCCTTAGTGAAATCGAAATATACTGTGTAAAGAGCAAAACCATGGTCCCTGGATTGGAGAACATAGTCAAAGAAAGAGAGTTGACAGGTGTCACAAGATCGAGCTTTGAGGAATCCATGCTGAGCAGCACTCAGTAAGTTATTTGCTGTTAAGTGACACATCATCTTATCCTTGATCAATGTCTCTAAGATCTTCGAAACTGCAGGGAGGGTGTTTATTGGCCGAAAGTCATCAAATGATGTAGATTTGCCGTGCTTAGGAATGGGCAAAATGTGTGATTCCTTCCACAAGGTAGGGTAAGTTTCACTTTCAAGAGCAAGATTAAATATCTTGCATAAGAGGGATGGGAAGATCGTGTTTGCATCGGCTTTTAAAATGCTTACTGGGACACCATCAGGGCCTGGACTATAAGATTGACGAAAACGCCGAATCGCAACAGTCACATCCCACAGAGTGAAAGTTATAGTTTCTAAATCCCGTAAGACCGAGGCCATCAAACGTTTAAAGGTTGCAGGCGCGTTTTTCAAGCCAAATGGCATAGTTTCAAACTCATACAAACCATAGGGGATGGAAAATGCAGTCTTAGACCTGTCCTCGGGAGCCATCTCCGCCTGCCAGTAGCCGGACTGCAAATCGAGTGTGGAGAAACAGGCAGCTCCTGCGAGTGACTCTAGGGTGGTGTCAATGCGTGAAAGAGGGAAGGAATCTTTGACGGTTACGACATTCCACTTCCGGTAATCAACACATAATCGCAAAGATCCATCTTTCTTTTTAACGAGGACGATTGGAGAGGCCCAAGGTGAGGACGAGTGGCGAATGACGTGCTTGTCCAGCATGACTTTGATGGTTTGCTCTAACTGTTTCTGGAAATGCACGGGTACGCGGCGGAGGAGTTGACGGATTGGTCGAGCCGAACCCGTATCGATAGTATGCTACAATACATTCTTTCTTCCAAGGGGTTCACAATCCCACGCGAACGCAGCGGAGTTTTGGAACATAAGGAGAGTCGGGAACCAAATGTACCAGGTCGGAAGGCTGGGGAGGGTGGAGCCCGACTGGGTCGCAAAACAGCTGGCGGTCAGGGGCATGGGGAAAATAAAAGGGGATTGAAAAGGTGTGGGTTCGTATACCACAGCTGCCACAAGTTTTTTAGCAAACAAGCGGACAGAACACCGTTCCATATCAGAAGATCTCGTCGAAGGAGGGTGAGTGATTATTAGGGAACGGAAATGGCGGGAGAGAGAAGTGGGAACGAGACACAAGGATGCTCAAGAGGAAGAAAAAAGTGAAATACAAGCAGGCAGTCAGAAGATCCAACCGCACACGCCACGGAGGGGGGGGGGGGGGGAAACCGAAGTCATCCTTGTCCAACCAGGCGTCCTCTTCTGTGACCTTGCCCGGGATTGGCTCTTCGGTTTCCACAATGAGTTAAGATCAAGCAGAGAAATAGGACTATAATGACAGTTCGAACATCGATTTCGATTATGTCCACCGTGTGCCCCACAGCTGCAGCATACGGTGGGAACACGTACGGTGACTTGCACAGGGGTTTGTAGTGCCAGTAGACTTGCGCTGCGTCTACCTACACTCTCTCCTCCTCCCTCGTCCGAACCCGGTGTCAAGACGGGGTCAAGAAGACCGGAGACGAGGGAGGCCGCAGGTGGATGGCTCGGACGGATCCTCACCTTGGAGTTCCACCACACCTCCTGGTCCACACAACAAATAACCTGGATTTCAACCAACACAACCGAGACTGGAAGCTGGCACGGCCGAAGCCGCACCTAGGCGTGCCGCCGACGCCTGGCTCGGAGTGCCATAAAGGCCACATTAAGAAGGACCCATTGCAGCCTGACTCTTAGACCCCCACCGGTCGAGGAGGAGGTCCAAGTTATCCCGTCAGTTGGCAACCTTCCCGGCAACGGCTTTTAGCGCACCGTGATAGCTTCAAGCGTGTCAGATTGTTTATAGTGATGAGGAAATGCGCTAAGTCGTCGACCTCACTCTCCCTTCCCATTCCCACACCCCAGCCGCTGTCCGAGCCGGTCAGCAGACTGGAGTGGCAAATGGGCGCGGTGGCTGGCCTGATCGACCTACCATGGCTGCGCGCGCCACGAGCACGACCTGACCCCCCATACACACAAAACACCAGGATTTCACACAACGGGGGTTGAACGGCGTGTCTCTCACTTGCGTGAGAGGACCGTGGAAGGTGCTGCTTCAGCCCGTCCCCAGCTCACCAGTCCGCCACTCCACACAACAAACGCACACACCTGTTGGACGACACATCGATGTATTAGCTGTACTGCGGTCGAGTCTTCGGACCCACATCAAAATTCCTAAAACGACAAAAGGGGTTTGACTGGAGTGCCTGGGCATCGATCCCAGTACCTCTCGCATGCTAAGCGAGCGCTCTACCATCTGAGCTAGCACCCCCACACCCACGCGCATCGTTAAAAGTAATATAGCATAATAAACCTTCACGGGTGCTTGTATGGAAGGTTTTGATATTCATCTCTTCCCTCTATAATCCGAACCCACTGACGGTGCATAAATTTCAACTGTTGTTTCATGGCGCCATATGACGTTTGATCAATTTCCAGCAACCACGACGAAATGTATTATATCGTGTACAAACTTGGGTGAAATTTGTTTGTTGACTCTAGGACAAATATAAGGGGTAAACCATTTAGGAGGACATAACTGCCGAAAGGCAAAGATAAAAGTTAGTAAGTCCACACATCAGCACTGTCCCAATAATATTCACGAAAATGGCGCCCCCGGGTGGGCTCGAACCACCAACCTTTCGGTTAACAGCCGAACGCGCTAACCGATTGCGCCACGGAGGCACGCCTTCGAGCGACTGCGTTTGCGTCCGAGTTCTTCACTTAGAGTGCCATGCCAGCAATTGTCGCAATATCATCATTAATAGGCAGCTTTGAAAAAAAACCTTGACATATTTACGTTCCAAAGTGGGCTGGAGAAATTAGGGACTTAATTAACCCCTCAGACTCATTCTCAAAATTTCTTATCTGTGCGACCCCTTTAAACTACTTCAACCTATATTATTTCTATGT